TTAGTACAGAAACGATTTTAGAAGAAAAACAGATAAATGTGTATAACATGATGCACAGAACATCTAGCCCACATTATATATGTATATTAGTGATTGTTTTGCATTGTGGGTTTGAATATCTAACTCAGCAAAATCCTCATATACAGTAGCTACAGTCACAGCTGCACAAGCAAACAGTGCATGCACTGTGATAGAGTGTGCAGGATATTTAGTTTCACTGTAAAGTTACTTAATGAGTCATAATTTAAAGGGATACTCCGGGTTTAGGGGGTTAAAGCATGCAAGGTTTTTTTTCCCTATCACTTCCACTTTAATTGGTGCAGCTGAAGAAAGGAATTTCCTGACAAGCCTTGCAGAAATGAGCTGACAGTGATGGCCATAACCATAGGAAATAACTAGGATTTTTACACATAATAGATGTTATTATTTTTGCTCTGACATATACAGACAATTAAGTTTTGTTCTGTGTGTGCTTAATACATAACAAATATAAAGTAAAGGTTCTTTGGGCCTGCAAAATGAATCCTGAACAAGGTGTTTAGAAAGCAAAGTCATTGTTGCATGGCAAGTGCCTTAGCCAAGCAAGTACTGGTAAAGTGGTAATTTAGGATAATTTGCATAAGTGTATCAGTCGATTTAAAACATTTTGAAGGGTTTATATGCAATGCTCAGACCCCAAAACACTTTTGTAGTGTTTCAAAATGACTTAGTGAGGCAGTCTCAGGAAGTGGAAGGTCACTGGTTTAGATCCAAGGACTGTTTGGGAAAAATCTGAGCAGGGAATGTCAATAAGAAGAGTTGCTTTGACTGCCAACTGCTTCACTGAAGCTGCTCAGCTTCCAACAATATGAGGATTTGATTAAACTGAGGAGCTTGAAAGTGTCTGCACGTGTACACTATGAAAGTATAACAGGGCGGGGTGAGGAAAAAAAGCATGTGTGCATAAATAAAGCTTTGATTATAGAGTTGTTGCAGGAGACTCCAAACCCCACTTTAACCTTACATTAACTGCTCTCCTGTCATACAGCTGTAACACACTTGTAGTAGAACCTCTTTATCTTTACACCTCTCTTTATCTACATCCAAGGTGATACTGAGGAGCAGTGTGCCTCCTTCCAAAGTTCAGGTAAAGTGTTTCCAGTATAAACAGGCTCTATAACCCTGCTGACCAGTTTGACCTTGCCTGAAGCGAATACAGTCTTCAATCAAATGTGGAATGTCACCGCAAGATAAGGAAATAAACTGGTCTTATCAAACCAGTCCAGAATATTTTCACACTATAGGCTAATTTCCTGCAGTGGTCTAGTTTGTGTGTAATAATCTGCCTATGTTTTTTGAGCATAATAATAGGTTGTTTGGACCAGTGCAGGAACCATGAACATTTCTGTCTTTTTGTTAAACAGGTAACACACACCTGATCACACGCCTAATCTCGTGTTGCAGCCTCTTTGACTTTTAAAAAAACATGTTGACCTGTGGGTTTCATTTAAGGTCATTCGTAACTATACTTATTTAAGTAGGCTACCTACATGTTTGAGACAGGACAGCGCTATCTTACCGGTTTTCGCGTTGATGTTGGCTCTCAAAATGTCCCCACTAGAAATGTGCTTCAGTCCAAAACTTTCGGTTATGCGCGCAGACACTGTTCCTTTCCCCGAGCCCGGAGGTCCCATAATAACAGCACGGAAAATCTTATTAAGAGCCATCTCCGTTTGTTTTTTTTCAGGAACAGAGTAGTCGTATCCTTCCCATGAAAACCTCCCTGGATGCGGAGCGGAGACTTGATCGGAGCAGGTATACTTTCTTTCCCAAGAAGTGCGCAACGTAGCCAAGAGTGGGCGCGTCTTCTGCAGCCAGTCTCGACTCTCACTGGACCTCGACTTTTATTTCCCCCTGCGCTGCAGAAGCAGAAGGAAGAGAAGGAGGAGGAGAAGGAGGAGGAGGAGGAGGAGGAGGAGGATGAGAACTGCGACTAGTTCAGTGCCAGCGGGGGGCAGAGGAGGATGCACTTCCTCCGACGACGCACGCAGAGAAAAATGAGATTTCTACGGCGTGTTGACAAACTTCTTCGCCTGTGTCAGTGTTTACGGTTTACTGGAGACGTGTTTATTGTATAACACGGTTATGTAATTGGTCTACAGGCGGCAAAAAAGCTTGTTGGCAAGGTTGCGGTGATTAATCCCTTCCGAGCCTCGATCCGCTCAGCAGACAGACCTGCAGATTGTCAGACAGGCTGCACTGAACAAATGACCGCTTTAAAGGAATGAATGCCGACAGACATGGCTCATCTAAATAACCCTTACCGTTCAGAAAAGTGTAACTTTTTTTGTGTTAGTCTGGTTAATATATTAAAAGATCTTCAATCATTATGAGAGTGACGACAGATTTTATTTTGCACTTTAATTTGCTTTATTTAGTTCACCTGCAGTCCATAATAAAGAACAATAAATGAGATCATCCTTGTAAATATTGGTAGAAACAGATTTGTTTACACTGTGATCACGTTTTGTGCCTTTAAAACCCAAAGAGCAACGCCCATGTTATATTAATAAATGGTGGTCTGGCGCCACCTGGTGCCCAACTTCCGGCGTTGCACCCTTTTAAAAAGAAAAAAAGAAAAAAAAAAAAGCATTTCTTTTAGTCCCTCCTGCCTTGCCGTACCTTCGCCTCCCACCAACGTCTTCCTGGACAAACACACGTGGATTTCCACTGACGCCAGGCAGAAACAACAATAACATGGCAAGCCATGGTCTCATGTACGACGGCTGCAATTTCTTCAGACAGCGCCTGGTGCTGTCCACCCTGAGCGGGAAGCGCGTAAAGATAAAGAACATACGGTCCAAAGAGGACGACCCGGGGCTGCGCGGTGAGTGGCGGCTTCACTCCCGCATGTGGCGTCGCAGTTAGCTCGGCGGCTAACCAGCTAGCTGTTACGCAGTTGGGAGTGTGTTTTCTGCTGGGCGTAGGAGGTGGGGAAACGATGGGACAGTGGGTGTACATGGGAGATAAACGCACAACACAAAGTTACGTGTTTGTTTTTGCTCTTCAGGAAAGGTGTGTGTTACAGAGCTCTGCTTTTACATTTTCAATACATACATATATATATATATATATATATATATATCACTTAGTCACTTGTCTTAGCACATGTGGGAGGGGTTTCAGAAGTTTCTTCAGCAGATGCAACAACACTTACATCCACTTGTTTGACTCCATATATGTTGGTAATGTACGCAACACGTAAATAATACATTTTTTAAAAAAGGTATTAGTGTTGACATAAAAAGTTTCTGGCTCTAATTTAAGAAAGCATGGCTTCCATCCAACTGTTTGGTTTGATTAACTGCATGTTTTGCTTTCTCTTCGTCTCCTCCAGATTTTGAGGCCAGCTTCATCAGACTGCTAGACAAAGTGACCAATGGCTCCAGGATAGAGATTAACCAAACAGGTGAGTGTTATAATTAGGATGGGACTGTCATATTAGCTTTGTCACAGAGGCTGTGGTTTATGTAAGCACTGTTTACTGTCAGAGGGGCTGAGATTTCATTAATGTTCAAAACACCAACAGACCACCTTGAACGGGACTAATAAGGTGTTATTATTTATTTATTTAATCTTTGTTTAAACAGGAAGTTCCTTGAGATTGAAATCTCTTTTCCGAGGGAGACCTGGCCAAGACAGTGCACCGGTTGCGATTTAAATAGAAATAAAACACAATCAGCAGGGAAACACAGATCATATACACAAGGGACTGATAAATCCAGCTCAAATAGGGCAGTCACATTCCACAGTCACATGGATTTTTAACATTGCTTTAAATTATTCCAATCATTAAGATGAAGTCCAGCTGAATTTATTTTGTGTTTTGCCACTGTATTTTTGTTCCCTTATAATTATTTTTACATGTTATTGTTGCTGTTATTGTGCATGGCATTGATGTAAAGTTCAGTAAAGTGAATTATGTCAGATGATATTCGTTCAGTGGGTCCATTATAACAAGTGTAAAGTAACCATCCACCACCTTATGGACTCACTCACTGTCCTTATGTGTCTTGTCTTTACCAGGTTCTGTGTTATTCTACCAGCCTGGCTTGTTGCAAGGTGGCTCTGTAGAACATGACTGCAACACGCAGCGTTCGATCGGCTACTATCTGGAAGCCTTGCTCATGCTGGCTCCGTTCATGAAGACCTCATTGAAGGCCACACTGAGAGGAGTCACCAATGACCCTATTGACCCGACGGTGAGGAGACGCATGCATCACATCTGATCACCAGTTTAATTTTGATTCATCTGGCTCATGAACACACTGGGTGGAGTTGAGGCATGCTTCTGCAAGGAAACGTGTCAAATTCTCTGTATATTGAATATCTGTGGAGAGTGCTCGCCTCTTGGATACAGATGGACACTGCCCTCTAGTGGCTGCACATCATTAGAAGTAATTGCATGTCAGATCACCAATGTTGCAGAGAAAAGTTGGTCTCTTTACAGAGTGAGAGAACCTGATAGTTCAGGGGCTAGTCAGGTTTTTGACTCAATTCAGAAAGTTTGTATATTGTAAGTGTTGACGTGTTCAAATTTGCTATTGCAGTCTGTTTTCCTCGTTGTCACACCCACTGTACAATCTCTTTTTTTGTTTTGTTTTTGCTCTTTGATATGAGCTGCAACTGTTTCGAGGTGCATAAAGTCAACAAACCACTAACAAAAAATAAGAAGCAGAGACACTGGAGAGAGGTGTTGTCATGGAAACAGCGAACAGCGTCTCTGTTTGTAGCTGTGATGAGAAATGTCCCGCCGTTGTTTTGCAATGCAAAGCTTCCATTTTGAACCACTGGGAGACACTGAAGCACATTTTAATGATTTAAACACTGTCTCCTGCAGGTGGACATGCTGAAGTCCACAGCCCTCCCTCTGATGAAGAAGTTTGGCATTGATGGGGAGGGATTTGATCTCAAGGTGAGGACACAGCAGTGGCCTGTTTAGTGTGGTATAATGTTATAAATTTTACATTAAAATGGAGTGCTGTTACTTAAAAACAAGCCGGCCTGTTTTTCTCTCTCTCTCTGTTGCTGCTCCCTCAGGTGGTGAAGAGGGGGATGGCGCCTGGTGGGGGAGGCGAGGTAGTATTCACATGTCCCGTCCGCAGGACCATCAGGCCAGTTCAGCTGATGGACCCAGGAAAGATTAAGAGGATCCGAGGTGTAGCGTATCCTTCTCAGGCTCACAATAATGGCCTTTTTTTAAAATATTTTTTCAAACAAATAAAACCATCCTGTTGTATTTTATTGTGTCTATTAGGACTGCAACTATTGATTATTTTCATTATTGTGATTATTGTTGTATTTTCTCAATTAGTCCTTTTGTTGATATATATTTATAAGAATATCCGAAAGCCCAGCATGACAGCTTCAAATGTCTTGTTTTGTATGACAGACAGTCTAAAAGCCAAAGATGTTCAGTTTACAATGTTGATAAGCAGGGAAAAGCTCAGTTAGCTGCTGAATAAGATTCTGTTGACTAATTGATGAATAGACTAATCTCTCTCTAGTATCTCTTCATAAATGCCAGAAACTAAACTTTTCAGCCACATTGAACAACTACTACACATATGTTTGGAGCATATATAAATAGCTTACATTTAATAGCAATAAAATACATCTCTACATCTCCTTTCCTACCATTCTGCTCCGTGATCGACTCCTTAGCTTCAGAATATGACTGAAGTTTTGTGGAAAACACGACCATTTTCAACTACGTAGGCTACAGTGAGTCATCAAAGGTCCTTGACAGTCTCAACTCAGATATTCGGTGCGAGTTTCTCCTCAGATGGCTAACAGAATAGTGGAGTCAGCCAGAGGCGTCCTCAACCAGTTCATTCCAGACATCTACATCTACACCGACCACATGAAAGGAGCCAACTCTGGCAAGTGAGTATCTCAACAGTACAGGGCCAGTGAAAAGAAATCCAACATGCTGTCTATTTGTACTCACTTTATGTCTGCCGTTTCTGTCAAACTTAGTCAATATTTGAATAGTCAAACTACAATAATCATAAATGTCAGTTCTTATACTTGTGTTTCATTGCAGTTTAAAGTGTAAAAACACCCCATGTGCATTTATAAGCAAAGTTTTAGTTATCCCTGCTTATTCAGAGAAACACGCAATAATTCATGTTGGTTAACCGCAGGTCTCCAGGTTTTGGTCTGACCCTGGTGGCAGAGACACTGAACGGCTTCTTCCTCAGCGCTGAGATGTCGTCCACGCCGCAGGGGCAGGGAGACCCCATACTACCAGAGGACCTTGGCAGGAACTGTGCTAAACTGCTTTTGGAGGAGGTACATCGGGTAAGACACACACCGTACATAGTCATTCAACACACACACACACACATACACACACGTGTCAGGTCGTCCGCAAAGAGAAGATGCATGGTTACAGTCGTCTCAGCCTGGGTTAAAATTTGTTGATGTTTGACATTGAATTTTAAAATATAAGTGGCTGTGTTCATTTAGGGGCAGACAATATGGTTTTTCTCTGTGAGTTGAGTGGCCGAAGGGCAAACAGGCCTTGTGCCCAATAACATCCAAAAAATACTTTAAAAAAAAGACAGACTTTATATGTATTTGCTATAGTCTACTATGCAAATGTGCTTCATGCTGTTTTTGTTTTCGAGAGGTGGTAGACAAAATCAAGCCAGTGAGGAAACAC